TATTGCTTTCTCCTTTCCTCAGCTAATAATTCATTTAAACAATTATACTGTATACTAATATTTCTAGTTATTTTGTATGAACACAGTAAGAGATATATTAAACTTAAAGGTTGGCTCTTCCTGGGGACATCTCAGACGTCAGTCCTCAGGCCAGGTTAGTCTTTCCTAACCTCAGCAGGATCCTTATTCAGTTACTTCTTTTTGGGTCATGACAGAGTTTGTTCCATGACCATACTCTTAACTTATTGTACTTCTTATGGCACTTATCTTGTCTCTTTTTGAAGCCAAGGAAGCTTACAACTTGCTCTGGGTCCATCCTTATCCCTCGCTGGGACCCCCCTTTTGGGAGTGTTAGGAAGTAAGGGCAACTGAGGCTTAAATATGGTAAATATGATGGATGCCCAGGAGTAAATATTATTTGGAGTCAATTAACTTCCATTTCACAAAAGCATAGCATGGACTGTCTTCCTGTGTTTATACAAAAAGACCATTGCTAAACCATGCAAAGGACATAAAGGAAAGATAAAAGCAATATAGGATTATTAGTTTCTGTAGAATTGGGGTGTGCCTCAGGAGCACTGCTGTGGGAGTAACTCAATAAAGCTAAGCTCCCTGAGGGAGGAGCAAGGTCAACCCAATGTTATCCAACAGCTGTGTACTTTAAAATTCAACTCAATTCTGACACAATTTACCTAGAAATAGCGGCAAGGCCCTAGATTAAGGGTTCAGACTCATTCCCATATCAGATACCAATTACAAGTACAGGTTGTCACATGTGCTTCTACCAGACTGGCTATAGATTAGAAGAGTTTATTAATTTGTTAGACATAGACAAAACCATAGATTTCAAAGAGAGATGTTTACCTACTAGATTACTGTTTTTTTTTCTATAACTCAGGAACAACCTTATGGAAGAGAAACATAGGGCAAGGTATGGAGAAAAGTCTTGGACCTTTTATGACTTCTCTGTAGGATAAGTGTACCATTCTCCCCCAAATATCCATCCTCCCAAAGCTCTCCAATGCCTTTTTTTTTGTTTTTTTTATGGTGGTTTTCTTATATAAACATGATTAATGAAATCATTTGCCTTTAATGATTGATTCAATCTCCATTCTCTCATTCAACCCTGAGTTTAGGGTTGGGCTGATAATTCCAATCCTTTAATCATCACGTGGTTGGTTCTCCTGATTAGCAGCCCCCAAATTTAGGTACTTTCCAAAAGTTGTTCCATCAACATAGCCAAAGACACCTTTATCTCTCAGGAAATTCCAAGAGTTTTAGAAGTGACCAAGAACAGGGGTCAAAGATCAAAAATATGTATTTATTATTATAAATCACAATATTATATTTTTCTATGCAACTGCCAGAAGAGAAATTTGAGAGCAACGAGCAAACGAAACTGAATCATTCTAAAGTATCACATAAAAAAAGAGAGGAAAGTAAAAAATCAATTATCCAATGATAAAAGGAAGCCAAAAGCTCAACAATAGTCAAGGAGTTGTGTTGAACCTCCCTCCAGCTTGGTCCTGGTCACTCAGAGCCAATTGGCTTGTTTATACCTATTCTTTTAGTAGTTAATTAGGCCTCATTTGGAAGTGCTTGGAGATTACTCCTGGCTCTAGTAGTTTCTTCCGAGAGTTGTTTGTGTGGTGGGTGGGGGTGATCTATGCAGTGTTGATTATTGAACCTGGACCTGCTGCGTGCTCTTAGCCTCTTAAGCTATCCATCTATCTGGCCCTATTTCTACCTATCTTGGCCCAACTGTGGTCAGGAAGAAGTAGAAGGCAAAAGCTGTTGGAGAATCTAAAACCTACAAACTCCTCATGCTACATGAAGCAAATATTGAAAGATAAAGATTGAAATATTGTATGCAATTTGAAAGATCAAGGATAGGTGGCTCACATAGGACTTATATGAATATTTGATCTTTAAGGTTGAATATAAATTTGAGTCTAAGGTAAAGGTAAAGGTAAAGGTAAAGGCCCTCCCGTTGATCGTCGATTTGCTCAAGCGGGCCCAGTAACGTCTCCATTGGAGACTTTGTTGTTACTGTGTCTGGCATATCGAAGACTCTCGGTAGCTTCCCGGGCTCTCCGAGAGGGGCGGAGGAATCGAACTCGGGTCGGCCATGTTGGCCGCTTGTAAGGCGAACGCCCTACCCACTGTGCTATCGCTCCAGCGGATATTTTAATGCTAATTTTAAGCATGGAAAATTTGAAAAACCAAAGATTCATGAAATATGAACAAAAATATGAGACATAATTTGATCAAATAGTAAACACTCATCACATATCATGTTTTCAAGAACTAACTACTCTCCTAGAGAAATGCTCGTAAGGTTATAACAAAAAGCAGTCTCTACCACAAAAATGTGCTAGAGATTTGCTGGGGGAAATTAAATTCATGCCCAAAAAGAAAGTTATATATATATGAATATATTTTTGAGAATATATTCTCAAAAATATATTCATATATAAAGAATATATTTTTGAGAATATATATTATATATTCTCAAAAATATATTCTTCTGATACAAGTCGCATCTATTCCTATAATATTAGTGGTACAGTTATAATGTAATGTATGAATGTACTTTCGTAATACTTTTTTAAAATTTTCTTTAGTAGCTCATTACTTTAAATGACTAGAAATGTTGATAATAACTTAATTGGGGTAAGTTTTCTACCTTTTTCCTGCAACTTGGTTATTAGCAACTTGGTCATTTTTTTTGACCTGGAACTATATAATATTTTTTAACAAACAGGTTATTTTTCTCTGAAAGCTGAATAAGAACTATAAAATTTCAAGTGACTATCAAGAAATTGAAATCACCCACATATGACTGAGATTCTTTAATACAATTTAAAAAAGTATTTGTTCCGCATAGGAATCTTGATAGGGCTCTGTAACTTTATAACCTAGAGACAGTCTCAAGATGCATCCACCTGAGTCAAGACAGAGGGAAATTTAAAAAATGAGCCAAGCAGGGAAGTGGTCTGATCTCAGATCATTTGTTTTGAAACTTTGGGAATGGCTGAATGAGTCTTCAGACAGAGGCTGTGGTGTGGATCTGTTGTAACAATCAGCAGACCTGTTCTGTTTCTTTAGTCATTGCTGATTGCTGAGTCAGGCCGTCTCAACAATTCACCCTGAAGTCTCAGCATGGCAGTCAGAGATGAGACAGAATCTTATTCTTGGTAGTTTCCAAACATGGGAACATTTCCACCTAGCAGATTAATACACAATACTGAATGCTGACCTTTCTTTTTTAATAAATAGCAATGAGAGAAGTCAAATATTTTCCTTAGGTTATTATCAGATCTAACTTCCCAGAAGAAAAAGTTCTTTGGGGTTAATTTGGTTGCAAGAGGTTTGAATTACTTCTGTTAGTGTATATTGAGAATCAGCCAATAGGTCCATTTGAAATAATTGCAGTTCTGAAAATGTAATGAATAGGCAAAAGATAGTTCACGTTTTTATATTGCATGATGTCCTTTGTAAGTCCTGTATGTGTGACATGACTCTTCTTGAGCCATTGGCATTAAAAAGTGACTCTAACTCTCCTCCCATCACTGGGAAGTACATGAATGTCGTTAAGGATCAACAACTAGATTTTGAGTGTATACTACTTTTTTCTTCAACTCCAGTGGAGGGAATGGGCATGGCATAAAAGGGAGAGTAGAACCATAATGCCCATAAGTAGAGAGAAAGTAAGAAGGAAATTGTCAGCCATAGAGGTTGGAGGAGGGATACTGGGGACATTGGTGGTGGAAAATGTGCACTGGTGGAGAGATGAATGTTCAATCTTTGTGTGACTGAAACTCAAACATGAGAGTTTTGTAAGTGTAGCTCACAGTGATTTAATAAAAAAAATAAAAAATAAAGGGAGAGTAGATTTCAGTGAACAAATGCAGTTGGGCTGGTTAATTCAGGAAAAGAGACAAAGGCAGAGATATACCAGAGTTCCGGAAACAAAAACATGAAAAACTCAGAACCAGTGAGTGGGGTAGGTTCAGGTGCTATATGGGAAAGTTGGGAAGTCCAGGTAAAAGGAATAAATGAGTTTAGAAGCTGAGGAGAAAGAACAAAAACAATTTCAACTCGTTTTTTCCCCCTGCTACCTTACTAGCAGTTAATCTGTTGAGAATACTTTACATTAATATTCGTAATATTAGTATTCCTAAAACCCTAACTCTTTTATTTATTTTTAAGGCATAAATTAAAACATGATGTAATTCAAATATAGAACATGTGTGATTTTCTAATAATTATTGATGTTCAATGATATGTTATAAGTAACTAAACTATATTTCAGATTCTCACTGACCACATGTGCTAGCAACTGTTGTGTAATGTTTCAAGCTTGAGGACTTGTAGATGGAATTTCCCTAGATAAGTCACACAACTCTTATGGGCTGTTTAGTAACCAGGTAGTTTTATGTGAAACAGAGATAAGAGGGAGGCAGCTTTAGAACTTTTTCAGAAGTTATAAGATTATCTCCGAAACTGAAATCTTATTGATATATTTCTCTTATGTTTGGCTAAGAAACATAAGATTTGAGTTAAGCAAAATATCTTGAGTTCTTTTTTTTAGTACTTTTCTCCTTATTAAAATTTTTTAGCACTGAGGTTTATAAAGTTGTTTGTAATAGAATTTCAGACACACAATGTTACAACAATCCCAAAATCAATACCCCTGGGTTCCCTCTCAACCCCCACCTCAAAGGAATCGTCAATGCTATAGTGCCATTTGCAAAAGCTACAGAATCAAAACTAAACAAATTTTACTACATTAAGCAGAAACATGATTACAGTTTGGGACCCTGATTACAGTAGTGTTGGCTTTGTGGTTTAACTATATACATGTACCACAACATTACACCACTAAAAGCTTAACTCAAACACTGGAGGAACTAAAGTGATGAGCAGGGGACAGAATCACACATGGAAGTTCTTATAAATGTTTTGACTTTAAATCATGTTGCCTATTTCCCTTTCCTAAACCCTCTTGGGGATGACTTGGAGCTTTCAGAAGCCAACAGAAGGGTAAAAGTAATTCTCCATAAAACCCAGAGAGGAGATTGTGCAAACTCCTTGGATCCTATCTGGCCTCACAGTCAAAGGGGAGGTAGGGGAGAGGGATATAAAAAAGTACCGTTTCCTTTGTTACAAGCTAAAATTAATAACATTTTGAATGGATGTAGTAAAGTGGGGGGGAGGGATGCCTAGATCACCTGAACTCCAGACAGACTATAGGGAATATACAGAGAAAGAAATCAAGAATGGAAGGAAAAAGATGAGAAAAGGAAGCAATGAGGATGCAGGGGTCAATATTGGAAATGTGGGAGAATGGTATAGTTATATATACAGTGCACTGATTTAACAACACTGAAACCATGAGATCCAAAATACACTAAATTTAAATATATGCCTGCCAATGGGGTAGTTGAAGGGGAGGTCAGTCACTGGGGTACTAGCAGAAGGGATCATGGGAACACTGGTGGAGGGAAATTGATACAGGTGGTGGGGTTGAATATTATATACCTAAAACTCAACAATTAATATCTCTATAAATAACAGTTCTTGAATTAAATGCAATTTTTTAAAAAAGGAAAAATAGGGCTGGAGAGATAGCACAGCGGGTAGGGCGTTTGCCTTGCACACGGCCAACCCGGGTTTGATTCCCAGTATCCCATATGGTGCCCTGAGCACCGCCAAGAGTAACTCCTGAGTGTAGAGCCAGGAGTAACCCCTGTGCATTGCCAGGTGTGACCCAAAAAGCAAAATAATAATAATAATAATAATAATAATAATAATGAAAAATAACATTGTGACAAAGCTAAAAGGCAAAAATAAAGACTGGAACAGGTTAGTTGTATGACAAGGAAGCTAAGGAAGCTGGAATAAGGGCCCTGGGAGAGTTTGTAGTGTAATCTCATAGTTTCTTTGTCTATTTTTAATTTTATACGGGTTGCCCTGGGGCCAGCAGGGCCATGCCCATATAGGGGCTAGTGTGAGGTGAGGGGTGTGTTTGTGTGTGTGTGTGTGTGTGTGTGTGTATGGGGGAAGGTATGCAGCACGGGGAATAAACTTGGGGCCCTACACGGAACAATGTGTGCTACCAATTGACTCACTTCTCTGCTTTCCTTTTAAATTTTTAAAATACATAGCATAGGGCTGGAGCAATAGCACAGCGGGTAGGGCGTTGACCTTGCACACAGCCAACCCGGGTTCTATTCCCAGCATCCCATATGGTCCCCTGAGCACTACCAGGGGTAATTCCTGAGTACAGAGCCAGGAGTAACTCCTGTGCCTTGCCGGATGTGACCCAAAAAGCAAAAAACCTAAAAAAAAAAAAAACCCAAAAAATAAAATAAAATACACAGCGTATCAGCCATCTTTCCAGCAGAGAAATGACCCAGCATCACAGTTCCAAGAGAACACACTGCTGAAACTTCCCAGGTAAATTGGTTGGGCCTGAGAACTCTGGGTCCTTCTTATAATAGGGGTGGGCAGATTCCTCTTTTTGCCTGAAAGCCATGCTGGCCACACCCAACAGCCTCTGACATGGAAAGGCCCAGCTTCACATCTTTTCTCAAAAGAATGATGAGTAGCTGAATCTTTCCATTGTGGGACCAGTCTATGGGCTGGGTATTCTTAGAATGGGGGAGGGTCAAGTCTGCTCCCCACCACCACTAGAAAACCCCACCAACTTCTCGAAAGGGGGTCGGGTAGATTCCTCTTTCTGCCTGAAGCCCAGCAGTCCTCAGCCATACCTGATACCCTCTGATTTAGAGATGGTCCCTCTCCACAAATGAACCTCATCGAACTGCCAAGCCACCCAATTGTCCCAGAGCTATAGCTCATGAAATTTTATAGTATTGCCAACCCCAGTGGGATTACAGCAACTCAGATTGGAAAATTGCATAGAAAACCTCCAAGCTCAATAAGCCTAAACAATAACACAGAAGGCTCAGCTTGCACTAACCAGCACAGCAGATCCTCAGGCAATGACTTTAGTAACATCATTGTAAGATATAATAGCTATTTAAAATTTGCTCTTATTGATCTAAGATTTAATAATTCCACTTACCTTTGTGTTCTAACAAAGTATATGAAGTGAGTTTGCTTATACCTGCAAAGGGGCAGATTGGGGTGAAGAAATGAGTGGGAAATAGGGGACATCAGTGGGGGGAGGGGCACACTAGTGGCGGGATTGGTATTGGAACACATAATGCCTGAAACAACTGTATTATGAACAACTTGGTAGATCATGGCATTATAAAATAATAATAATAAAAAACAAAAACTAAAACAAAATAAGATGTGCTTTTTTAAAAAAAATGTTGGTTCTTGCATTTTTTTAAAATATAGGTCACTGCCATAAGTACTGGGATAGAGATGGGCTTGTGGTGCCATGCTGAGGGATCAAACTCAGGACCTTGTATGAGCTGGACATTTGCTTTACCATTTGAACCTATTTCCATCCCTCTTATTGTTTCTCTCCAAATTTAGTCCATCTTAAATCTTTCTGTTTTCTTCTCTTACAAATTCTTTCCCTCGTATCCCTAAGAGATAGCTTAGGACAATTGAGCATCTGGGAACCTGAGTCTTATGCAGTGTATCAGGAAAGTATAAATTGAAAAGATACAGGGAGTTTGGGGAGGATTTAAGGGTAAGGCTGCAGGTGGAAGAAGGTCTATAATCTTTATAAATCTGTACTATTTACCACGACTCTTGGGTAATTCTGACCAGTGTTCACACCTGCCTCACCAAGAAAATATATAAAAATACATTCTGTGCCTAATTTAGAAGTCTTTGCTCTTGATTCAAGCAACCATATGCCTTTTGTTTGTGTGTATGTATGTGGGGGGCGGGGGCATATCCACTGTGGTTAGTGCTTACTCCTGGATCTGTGCTTAGGAATCACTCCTAGAGATACTCGTGGGGGCATATTCAGTATGGGGGATTGAACTCTGATCAGCCATGTGCAATACAAGTTCCTCACCTGTTGAATGATTTCCCAGTTTTATCCCTATCTCCTTCCCAGAATCATCACCTCACTATCTCTTTTTTAATTTTATATAAATAGTTATCAGAATAGTCATTCAGAATAATGTCAATCAATTGTTAGGGCAGTTTCACATGTAAGTATTCATTATGATTTTTATTTCCAATTCCTTCTATCACACCAAAACAGTGAAGTCAATAATTTTTTTCTTCTTTTTTATAAATTTGTTTATTGAATCACCGTGAGAGCAGTGACAAAACTTTTGGGTTTAAGTCTTGGTCATACAATGATGAAACACTCGTCCCTTCATCAGTGCCCATTTTCGACCACCAAAAAACCCAGAATGCCCCTCATCCCACACCCTCCCCCTACCTGTGGGGCAGATGATTTCGACATTACTCTCTCTCTCTACTTTGATTACATTCAATATTTCGACACCAGACCCACCGTTATTATTTGGGATTTTACCCCAACACTCAGATCTGCCGAAAAGGCAACTGTAGACAATTTATTTTTTATTGCTGGTTATGAATAATATATGAGGTCGCACAGCCACAGTAGTGGCCATGCGACTTTGGGATTCCAAAATTTTAACAATCAAATCTGGAGGGACTTTCATCGTTTAAGAGCTGAAAGTTTGTTGTAAAAAATAGAGGTAGATATCTAATGAGCCTACTACAGTGTCTGGCATACAGGAACACCCAATGTATCACACTTAATAATTGAATAAGTACAATGAGTCAGGCACTGTTTTAGGTGCAAGAATTAGTGAGGAATGAGGAATGAGAGAAGGCTTGCCTTAATGATGTTTAACGGTGCATGGGATCAAATCCCTCAAGAGCAAGAAGGAAAGGGGAAGTAGAAAGAAATAGAAGAAAGAAATTCAAAGAGTGGAATTGCCTGTGTATGCAAATGTCAAACAATGTGACATAGTGTATTTTGTGGTAAGAGGTAGCGATTCTAGCCAAGTAATTAGGGAAAACATCTCTGAAGAGATGACTTTTTTTTTTTTGTATGGAATCATAAAAAAAAGAAAGCTAGTGGAGGTCAAGATCTTGGGAAAGAGCATTCCACAAAGAAGTAATAGCAGGGAGGAAGGACTGTGAGTCAAGAATAAAGACTGTGAGTCTCTGGCAGAAACAGGCAAAATCAGTGAGTGAAAGAAGGAGGAATGCAATAATAAAAGAGAAGGGTTGAGATATAGTGTGAAATATAGGTGGAGTAAGACATCTATTTCAATTATGATGGAAGATGATATGCAATAATATAAGAAAATATAATTGTATTTATTATAAAATATAATCTTACTCAAATTAACATTCTGATTGATGTGCTATAAATGAAGGAAAGGGTCCATTGGCAGAGAAAACATGACAGAACATCAGTTAATGAGGAAGTTGTTTGAACGGTTCACTGACAATGGGTTTTAGGTTGACCTGGAGGGAATAGAGGGAGGTGGCTTGGTTGGAATTGGAATAAATTTTGAAAGTTGAATTGATAGGGACTTCCCAAAGAATGGAACATAGGAGAAATAGAAATGTCATGACTGATTCTCAGACTTGAATCACACTCAGAATTGTCACCGTCACCAAGGTTATGTATAGGACCTAAGGGGTCAGCATTGTAAGACATCTAAGCACATGCACATCTAAGAAAATGTCAAGCACAGTTTTGACATAGAGTCTTGGGATGAAGCTCAGATATTGGAGACACATTTATAAAAAGTATAATAAAGCATGTAAGACATAAATTTCAGCTTCACCAAACTGGAAAAAAGTTTAATCCAATGAACTAACAGGTGATATTTACTGTTTTTTTTTTAAAAATGAGATTAGATATTCTTGAAAACATTTGTTTAAATGACCCATAACCAGCGTCTATGAACACAGAAGGGTTGACTCAGGGAGCCCTATCATTTCTCAATGGTCATCAAAACCTGACCAAAGCAAGGGATGATTCAGTTTCAGCATCAGATACATGTTTCCTTATCAACAAAATTCTTTCTGTGTAGAGTCACTGATGCTAGATAAAAGGTTGTTTCACTGGTTCACATCTTGTCATGGGTGTAGTTGAAAATCTTTCTTCTGGAAGGAAAAAAAAGGAAGAGC